CACATTTTAGTATCGCCTTAGCTCGCCTCAGCTCGCTTAGAACCTCGCCGGAGGTGGTACGAAAAAAAAGTACCCAAAAGCAGGTACAGGTACAACTTTTACACAGTGGAAAACCAAACAAAGGCGAGTCGAGTCGAGCCGAGCCGAGGCGAGCTGGTACTGTGTAGTAGAAAAGCGCCATAAGGGTGCCTCCATTTCCATATGTGTTTTTAGTGATCTGAACCATTATTTCCACAATTTTCATACAATTTATGAAGTAGGCATCCTATTCAGAAGTAGTAAGGGAAGTTTGGCATATTGTGATATGAATTCAACCTCAATAATCGCATAAAAATAACACGCATGTGCGTTATAGCTCGCTGCCACATCACAAATGGTGAATCTATATATTTTTTCTTTATATTTAAAATATTTTCAGACCTTTTTTTCTAAAATAATTGAATGGATGTTATCCTTTGAACTATTGGCATGAAAACAAAACTGAGGTTTCTACCATTCTTTCATGATTTTCATGTTCATCACAATTTCAAATTAAAGGTCTTAACACGCCTTAGGAGTATGAAAATATTCTTGTTGCAAATTGATAGATTACAGCTCTTCTGTAATTTATTTTGAAAATCAAATATGAAAACTACTGATTGTAAGCTTTCAAATGATATATAGTTTGTCAATATTAGTTTAGGTTTAGTATAGGATATTACTGTTTTAAAGGGGTGGTATAATGCCCTTTTCACAAGATGTAAAATAAATCTCTGATGTCCCCAGAGTGTGTATGTGAAGTTTGTCACTTTTTGAGGGTTAGCAAAAACACACCGTTTTGTGTCTGTCCCTTTAAATGCAAATGAGCTGCAGCTCCCGACATAGTGGGCGGAGCTTCAAGAGTGTATGTGAGCAGCTCCGATTACCTCACGCAGACACACGCTAAAATGTCAGAAACTGTTCTGCCTTTTATGTTTAAACCGGAGTCAGACAAAGATGGAGAGACTAAGAAGAAGTGACAACATGTAGAATGCAACCGGACATCTCAGAATGGTTAGTTGATGAGTTTGTTGCTGATGTGGAGTTAACTATCTTCAATAAGCATATTCTGTCAGGTTAATCTATAAATCGCTTGTATAGGAACTGTTGTGAGATGCACACAGAGTGACTTTCTATTGCATGTGAAAAGACGGATGCGACAGTTTGAGCTGACTCACAAATGTGCTTGACTACAACAGCTCTTCTCAACATGGACTGTGTGTTCCCGAGGGCGGGGTTTATGTAAATTTTAGTGTTAGTGATGTCACTAACCCGGGAGGAAGCTCATGTAGTTCCTACCAGCCGTTTGTTGTAGTCTTTAAAAAAAGATTTCTTTAAAAGCAAATATCTCCCTTTGCTTTGAACTTTGAGCGTTGTTACTTTGCAGATGTTGTTTATGCTCAAACAGCATTATTACACACTAACTAGAGTTAGAAAAGTGAAATCATAATCAACCACCCCTTTAAATATGTAATGGCTATGGGCCGGTGCAACTTAAGGGGTTAAACAATAGCGTATATCAAGTGATTAGTGTATTATAATTCTATTCTGATAAGTATTTTCATGCTATGGCCGATATTAGAATTCTATTATTTTGTCTAAATAAATAAAACATTAAAACATTTATAAATACTATACCTGAACTTAAGCATCACCTCATGATAATTTACAGTATGAAAAAATGCATGTTAATTTTGAGATTTGATCAAGATTACATTTAACAGTGTTAATATTTAATTATTAGTGTTTTTAAAAATGAACATTAAGTGGGGATTAGATGATGGCAAAGGTAATCTAAATGCAGAAATATGGGAATTAAGCATTAAAATGAACAATTAAAAAAAACTGTAATATTGTGTATCCCAACATGCAATCTCAACCTAACGTGACCCCTGAATGTAAATTAAAACTGCTTTTTTTATGCCACTTATGTGTTTTTATCCTATGTGATTTTCATGATTTTAAACGTATTTCTTTGTTTAATTTTTTAACAAGTAAATTACTGAGTGCACATTTAGGTATTTAACATTCCAGAATGATGTGTGTGTCTGTGTGTGGGGTGAATGTGAATCAAGAGTCACTTTGTATTTGTACTGGGCACAAGTGAATTTTAATGTTTAAATTCTGAATGTGTCTGTGTCTCTGACCGTCGGTTGCTGCTAAAGTAATTTCTCAAGGGGAGACTAAGCCTCTCTCAGCCTACAGAGCACAAGGGCAAATACGAATAAATATGATAAAATATGGATGAATGCTAATAAAGCACTGGCCAAGTGTGGCCCTCACTAAAAGGATTATCTGGAAGGGCAGACATTATTACAGGGGCAGCTGCCGGTCTGCCTTAAGAGCAAAGCATGCAAACTTCGGCATCCAGATTACTCATCTCAGTTTTATTTATTATATAATGACTAAAAGGGATGAGGGTTCAGGTTTGATTTTTTTTTTTTTGTTTTTTTTGTGGTAGTGAAACCTAGCTCTTCTTTGCACTGATTTGTTGTGCTGAAGGCTAAAGAAGTATCAAATGTAATCTGACTCTCTGTGTTACATGACTGGGTCTCTCATTAAACTGAATGGTTCATTTTTAGTGATTACTTCAACCCCCTGGTAAACTCACTTACATCACCCATCGGTCACTGTTTTACAACCCTTTGTTACACTAGTGTTTCCCTGGAGTTAGCTCACTATTCAAAGACCAACCACATTGATTTGGTTGTTAAATTAAAATGAGGAATGGAGTGGCCAAAAAATGAAACAAATTGTAGGACTATTTTTCTGTGCACTCCATACACTGTCATGCACAATTTAAACATTCATCTACTTACAATAACATACATACAGTGTAATACTCTATCAAAGCCTGCAATCCATGCCTGAATACCTTTAAGATGCACACTCTAAATATCAAATGTTTCCCTAAGCAGAAAAATCTGGACAAATGAAAGTAGGATTAAAACATTACGAGTTAGCTATGGAAAAGGGTAAATTAATCCAATACCCTTCGCGAATACATCTATCGAAAAAGCCACCAAGGGTACTAACCAGTAAAATATGAATTCATGAAAACTAAGTTGGTGGTTGGTTCACTGTTTGACAGAAAAAGCTGATGTGCCATGAATTTGAATGCTTTACATGCTTAGATTTCCTCTTAAGACTGTAAAGAAATGGCTCAGAGGATGCTTGAATTAGAAATTAAAAGACAGGAATAAGGAGAGGAAGGGACTTTTTTTTGTCTTGTGTGCTGAAAAGTCATCTTCTCCTCCAGTCCAATTTTTCCTAACAATAGCTCTACTGTTTGGCACTGTTGGCTAATTTGCATCTCATTTTTATTATGATTACTTTTCTTTTGGTCAGTAGAAGTCATTGCCTTTTTTTTTTTTTTACCCAAATTCAACATCTGATTTTTATGATGCACATTTTGTTTTGATGCTGAGAGGGATGGAAATGGTTTACTTGTGGTTATAAGGACTGGAATCTGAGCACTGAAAGTATTTTTTTAAGAAAAAAGTAATTCTGGTGTGGTGACGCTTAAAGGGATTGTCCTCCAAAAAATGAAAATTCTGTCATCATTTATAGTAGGGTAAACCCTACGCTGTAAGGACCAAATGTCCCCACAAAGATAGTAATACCAGACTTTTTTCAGACTTTATTTGGTCCCCAATGAGAAAAACAGCTTATAAATCATACTAAGTGATGTTTTTTTTTTTGAAAATGTAAAAACGCAGAAAGTTGTGTTTAGAGGTTTAGGGTTAGGGGATAGTATATGCAGTTTGTACTGTATAAAAATCTATGGTCTATGGAAGGTGCCCATAAAGCATGTAAACCCTGTGTGTGTGAGAGAGTGAGATGTCCTGACCACCTTGGGTCATCTTTATTTTGAAGATGTATTGCATCACCACTCTGTGGAATAACAAACATGCCCACCAGAGGGTGGGTCAGAAATGGCTGCCAAGATATATTCCTGTGCCAAAAAAAGCACTTGGTCTGATTTTTTTTTATTGCATTGACAAATAAGCCTGGGAACTTCTAACACAATGACTCCTTCAATACCTTGTCAATGAAAACCTCCTTTGCACTTTAAGAGGTACTTGTATGTGCTTTTATGTGTGTAACTGGTTGGTATTCTTTATTAAAAGCTATGCGAATTTGTTTCCAAAGTCCAAGTGTGCCTCAGATATGGACTTTTGCTAGCCATTGCTAACATCTATTCAGTCCACTATCCAACTCGTAGCTGTTTTTTCCTTTTAATGTGTCTCTTGAAGCTTGATGTTGCCCAAATGTTTCTTGTATCACCTTGATGCAAATGCTTTTTCTGCTGTGTGCATTTTCTTTTAAGCTAATGAGGCCTGTTTATCCCAGATCAAAACTGTAGAAGCAACACTATATTCGTACCAAAAGCAAAGCGCAAAGGCACTTCTTAAATGTAAAATATAAATTCATACAATATATAACACCCCCCAAAAAAATCGATTTTCGATTATTTGTTTTTTTAAATGCGGTCGATTCGATATCGATTCTCAAAAGCCACGAAATCGAATCGATCCCCAGCCTATAGTATACATTTATAATTCCTAGTATAAATGCACATTCAACGCTTTTACATTTAGTCAAGAATTACTTGTCGTGATATCATTAGTTTTTGCTCTGCTTATTTTTTTCTTTTACCAATTTTTTAAAATATTTTTTATGATTTTTCATTTGTACAAGATTGCTCCACTGACAACTGTCTATCCAGAAAACACTTGTTGTTTCAAAGATCAGTGAATATAGACCTTTAAACTCCCAGTGTTAATATAATAAATGTTATAATGGATGGTGAGAATGAGATGCCAGTGGCATAGTCTCCTCAGAGAGCGATGGAAGCTATTTAACATTTATTGGTCATTTTGTTCACATTAGATGTTAGGCTACTTATTACCTTAAAAGAAACAGTATAGATGTCGCACTCTAGTCTAATGTTCTCAATGATGTGTGTTTGTGTCTCCCAGTGTAATGTTTTGGTCGATGCGCGAGTCGCTGTGGGAATGAGACTGCGAGGCAGGGATTTGGAGGATTCCACTGTCTCCTGGATACCAAGCGTCCTGGGTGTGCAGAGCGTCAGGCTCCGCCTTCGCCTTGATCGCCGTGACGACAGGGGGAGGGGCCTTTGGCAACTGGTTGACCTGGGAGAGGAAGCGCAGAGTGGGCACCGGATACGTGATAGGACACCTCCTACTTGTTCACAAAGTAAGACATTCATTCATGATAACTACAGTTCAATGGCAGAATTCTCAAAAATATAGAATCCATTGATCCTGAATTGCCAAGGTGTTGTTTGAAATGACAAGAACATTATGTGCATGACTAGGAGTTATACTAGCATTCTTCTGACTTTAGTTGTTATGATCCCTCTTGATATTGTTTCCTCACTTCCTGTTCATGAATGAAAAAGGTCAGTTCTTCATTGTATAAAATGCTATATATGCATACAGAGACCTGTTTGTGTAATACTCAGGGTTTTACAATCATTAATAGGGATTTAGATGGTTCGCCAGCTGGTGAAAAGGACCGCAAAGATTTGAGAGAAGAATAATTGGGCACAAGAGGGAAAAATACAGTATTAGAGAGGATAAGACAGACAGAAAGGCTGGAAGAGCGAGAAGATCCTCCGTTCATTACATTGGACCCTGGGATTCTGCGCTGCTTGACTCCAAAAAGATTAATGCAGATTAATGTGTCATTCTTAATTATTGCAGTCCCTGTTCTCACGCTGTGTGAAGAAAGACGTATGTTCCTCCGCTTTTTCTTATGTTTTTTGCTTTTTTCGGGTAGAATACAGTATTACTTGTCTAACACATACACTCATTTTTGGTGTTATTTTTTTTACATTTCGATCACATGGTCTTCAGTATCAGGTTTCCCTTGTCTGTTGCTATGGCAACTTTTGCCATGAATGAAGTAAATAACTTATTGCCATTGTTTGTAAGGGTTATTTTTTTCTTTCTTCACAAAAACCCCTCCTCTAAGCTAGGCGTTGGCTGGAGGACTTGGCAAACAATGGTTGATTTTCTATTGTTATTTTGGTTTGAATTAGTGTGTGTGTGTGTGTGTGTGTGAGAGAGAGAGAGAGAGAGTGAGTGAGTGCACATTGAACTGCATGTTTTGTGCATGTGTGTGTAATCAGTGGGAATGTTGTAGGTATGATTTCCAGTCAATGGCTGCAGGCAGTTCTGGGCATGTGACTCTGAATCTAGACATTGATGATCGATCTCTGTTTGCTTCACCTAGAGCTTTTGTTCCAGACAAATTAGCAATTTGTTGACATTTTGTGAACATTATAAAATGCTGTGACAATAGTGTCAATAAAATAATATGAAAATAGTGATAATAATGATAGAAAATCATTTATTTCTAATGATGCTCTGGTTCTTTGCTGGACATTTTTAGTATATTTCTCTGACTGACATCATGCATGCCACATTTGTCATGGAGAATTAAAATTTTTAAATCCAAAACCTTTTAATCTAAGGTTATTGTACCATGCTTCAGGCTTTTGTCCAGCTTCCTCTCCTTCTCTTCCATTTACATGGACACATACATGAACACACTCACACAGTAGTTGTCCCTCATCTGCAGTGTTAATGGGTTTGAGATGATTGAGTTGCCACTAAAGATGAATCCATGACTTTAATTAACTTTTGATTTATTGGCTTCTGTATTCCAGGCATAATTAGAAATTAAATATAGTGATCCAATGGATGGGTGAATGGCGTCCAGCTCTGCGTCAGGCTGTAAAATGGGCTGTCTAAATGTATTTCACAGAGTGTCCAATGAAACAGCCGTGAATGTCCCCTTTCTGTGTTTTATATTTCACGGGTTTTCAATAGATGGGTTTCGGTAATATGGCAAATACTAATACAAAACTTAAGGGGCGGCTTACACAACACTGTTTTCAACTAAAACGGATTTGTGTTTATTTTAGTTTATTAAGTTTTGGCCTTTCATGTACATGTCAACGGCATTTTGGGAGCCTGACAACGGCATTTTGGGGGCCTGAAAATGCAAAGTTTTGAAAATGGGTTTCAAAGTGCAGGTTTTTGAAATCGATACCTTTATCATCTCTGTGTAAACCAAAAAAAAGTAACTTTGTCTTTGTGAAACCGTAACGTCATATGCATGCTTCAGGTGCATAGTGTTTCTTTACAAAGTGACATCGCCAACTACTGGGGAGAGCGCATGCACAGACCGAATATACTGACACACATCCAGTAACCGTTCACTTATAACATAACCAAGAGAATACTTGCCGAGATGGGTATTTCGACATCATTTTGTGTATGTAAACGCGAAAGAGGAATCAATTCAGTGCTCGAGCGCTGTCAAAGAGGAATCAATTCAGTGCTCGAGTGCTGTCTGAAACGTCTCTCTCTCTCTCTCTCTCTCTCTCTCTCTCTCTCTCTCTCTCTCTCTCTCTCTCTCTCTCTCTCTCTCTCTCTCTCTCTCTTTCTCTCTCTCTCTGCGTGCGCGCTCTTCGGGTGTAGGAGGCTAACAGATAACAGTGCGTGAGTCCAAATTTTCGCCTCTTCTTCCGCGTTTAAAATTGTTTGAATGTGTAAAGTGGCAAGAAAAAGCACGATAAACTTTCACTCTTATGATGGTTAAACTTAGCAGTTGATCCGCGAATCACATGCGTGCCGAATCGTGGGGCCTGGTCCGTACTGTAGTTTTGATGCTATGTTGGGTCAGTCACCATTTGGTTCTAGTGTTAAATGGGTCCTAAATCAAAACTAGTTGAACCACTGCTGGGATTTGTATAGAGGCTTTGGTTTTTCTGAATAATTTGTGTCAGACTAGCTGGCTTTTTTAGAACTGTTTTCACGAGTTTGCTCATTGTTTTGAGTTTGCTTCCTCTTAGTGGCCAGTAAGACGGCTCCCTAGAAACCACTGTCTTTCAGCCATGGGAGCGGATGTGATTTCTGTGATTTCAAGTGCTCTGACTGCCAGCAAGATTCTTTACAAGTCCCTAAGATAATAACCTTTCTTTCTTTCTTTCTTTCTTTCTTTCTTTCTTTCTTTCTTTCTTTCTTTCTTTCTTTCTTTCTTTCTTTCTTTCTTTCTTTCTTTCTTTCTTTCTTTCTTTCTTCGCTTTTATCTTTGCATTGGCAAGTGCTGTTGTCATAGCAACCCACATAGGTTATTGATCTTGCTGATGACCCATTTGATTTTGTGTACATCTATTGTAGTTTGAACTTTGCTGGTGCTGCTGTTTCTGTGTTCATGGGTTCATCCATTTGGTGTGTTCAAAGCAAGTAAAGGGCTTTGTTGTAAAGGGCTTGTAAAAAAAACCACACACACACACACACACACACACACACACACACATATATATATATATATATATATATATAAAATATTGAAAACATGTTGTTTTTTGTACTGTGTTTGTTCCATCTTCTATTTATTTATTTGATTTATTTTATGCATTTGACAGACACATAATATAATCTTCTAAATTCATCTTCTTATCATTATAGTTATTTAAAAAAATAATAAATTCATTTTTATTTCACTGAAAAGTATGACATGGTGATGCTGAACTTTAATCATTTTTGTTCCAGTTCAGTTTGTTGGTGTGTATGAAGACGTGTGTGTGTATGTGGTGGGACTTGAAAGACAATTTGCTTGACCTTCTGTTGACCTGGAAGCAGTTTATCACATGCAAGTATCCAAGTGGGAGGTCAAGGACAGGTCTGTTTGATAGACGGCGTGTGAAGAAGTCCCAGTTGTGTGTTTGCTGTGTGTGTTTGTGTAATGGAAACAAGTGTACTTTCATAGTGCTTGTAGACTTACTGTAGAAGCAAAGTGCTGAGATAAGGGTCCAAAATGTAATTTGTTGCCTCACTTCCCAATGGTTTAACCTTTTCATATAAAGACTTTTCCTGAATCTTATTTCACTGTCTAGCTTACATAGTGCTTAATCTTTCGCCTGTGTATTTAACAACATTCTCCCGCACAGAGCAAGTCAGCAGATACGTGACTACGCTGTCTGTACACTCGCCAGCATGTGATAGTGTGTGTGTGTGTGTGTGGTACATGAGCCAGACCCCCCACCCTCCCCACCTCCGACTTAGGGAGTGCTACACATTCCCAGCGTTCTTCTGAGGGGGGTCGGAAGGGAAGGAGGAAGCTTCGTCCAGCTCTGTACAGTGCTAGGACTGAGATTATCCTGTAGATCCAATCATAACTTCTTCAGTTATCCGGCCAAGAATGGGGGGCTTTATCCAACTGCACCTCGTGAAATCATCTGCTTGGTTTTGTCTGGTCAGATGCATGGTTAATGAAGCTACCTTTTCAATGACCTATTGACAAGTGACTAGCACCATCACTGATGAGTGAATGTTACGGCAAGTATACACTGATGATAATAACCTGTCTCATAAGGGCTGAGAGCTCAGAAGCGTTCAGGCAGTGCTGTTGGTTCAGTGTTTGTGTTGTTGATAAGGTGAGTTTAGTGAGTTTGCCTTTAATATATTGTAGCCCATATGGGTTTTCTGACGTGTTGTTTTTCATTTGCTCTTTTTCTTGGAGTGTATTGTGCTGTTTGTGTTTTTTATACACTTATGTATCATTTTGTGATTAAATTTTGATCCGTAATAAAGTACCTGAATTTTAGTAAAAGAGGTTATATAAAGTCCTCCAAGCTTCCATTAAGAGGTTATATGGGTGTTTAAAACTATGGAGCTTGAAGTCCTTTTGTATAAGATTATTAATTAACCTGAAAGGGACTAGAACATTCAAGAGCTAGAGATTAAAATACCCTGGTCAAAAGTTTGGAAACATTACTATTTTTAATGTTTTTAAAAGAAGTCACTTATGCTCATCATCATCAAGCCTGCATTTATTTGATCGAAAATACAGAAAAAATATTAAAAATAAATATTATAAAATAATGGTTTACTATTTAAATATACTTTAAGATATAATTTATTTCTGTGATGCAAAGCTGCATTTTCATCAATCATTACTCCAGTCTTCAATGTCACATGATCCGTCAGAAACCAGTAAAATCCACATTTTTCCCATATTAATTTGTGAATATTTCAAATAGGCTATTTAATAAAGGGGAAAAAAGTCTAATATGCTGATTTGATACTCAGTTATTATCATTATTTTTAGTAACAAATTGTAATGTTTCCAAACTTTTGACCGGTACTGTATATTTGTTTATTTATTGTTTGTTTACCCCTAAAATGCAAATAATTATTTTGCATCACAAGTTCATAACTGTCAATGTCAGTAAATAATATAATGCCACCCTATTTAAGCTATTAAAAATTGTCTGCAAAATGTAATAACAATAACAAGAGAATTTTAAATAAAAGATTAAGTAAGCCTATACAAAATATAATTGCACCCATATATTGTAAAAAGTTGTATTGCTTTGTTAAATATGATAACATTTTCTAAATTAAAAGCTAATTCATGCTTTTTACTACTTTTTTTAACAGTATTTTAGATTACAGTTGCATGTGTTTGTGTTATCTTTTAAAATATAATATACTAGCCTACATATAAGGTCATCTACAGTTAACCAATTAAAGGGTAGTACTAACATTTTTACATTTTCAATCTATTAAAACTACAAGTTCTTTGCAGTGTCATTATGTCTGCAGAATTGTTTATATTATTTAAGAATAGAGAAAAAAACCCTTAAATTCAATTTTTCGTGTTTTTTTGTTTTTTGTTTTGTAAAACAACTCACCAGCTCTTTAAAATAATGTAGTTATTTATTAATTATGTATTATATTAATTAGTACGTGTATAATAAATCGTAATTTTTCTTGTTTTGTAAGCTGTTTACATCATTAATAATATTTTTTTTAAATCAGCTAACAAAATTCAGTCCATTAGCTCTTGGCAGTGGGCATTGCGTTTGGGGAGTCTTGGAGGCTCTAAACGCTGCTGTGGTGTAAATTATTCCGCAGGCTCCGCATCAGCATAATATGACTATGGCAAAGGGAGGATGTTAGGCGCCCAGTTGCCATGACGACAGAAAGGGGACGAGGTAGCGACTGCGGAGCGCGCGGTGGTATCGAGAGCGCGCGGGGGTTTCAGAAGTGGCCGGTCTGTCTGTGGAAGCGCGCTTGATACGCTATTCTTGACATTGCTGATAACGAATCCGCTCCAGAGCTGAGTGGTCGGTGAGTGTTCATACATTAAAAAATGCGTTTGCGTGCCGCTGATTTCGCGGTGAGATTAGGAGATAAGGAAGGAAGCCCTCGCGCAATGCAACACGGCTCGTAAACATGAACACGCACATGAGGAACGGTGCTCTATTTTTGACGCTCTATTTTTAATGGCGTGCACTCTCTCTGTTTTCTGAACGGTTTGCTGTGCACCGGTTCATAGATTCATCGGAATTAGAATGGATTTATGCAGCTGTTGGAAACCACAGTGCTCGAGAAATAGATTAATGTAATTACGCATGGCCTGGCTGATGCATGGGGGAGAAAGAGAGAGAGAGAGAGAGAGAGAGAGAGAGAGAGAGAGAGAGAGAGAGCAGGTGAGCGGAAATAATCTGATGTTTAGAAAGTGCCTAGGAAAATAACTTGGAATCAGAGTCAACCCTATTTATTTTGTAGACAAATAATAGTTATTAAAATGACCCATTTCTTTATATTTCGGCATAATATGTCACATGACATGTTACCTGATGCTTTGACTAAATAACTTTTTGTATTCACTATTCGTCATTTAGTCTTATGAATATTTATCTGGAAAAGCAGATGTCGATTCATCTCTTTCTTATTATCTCTGCTTTAACAGCCGAGCTTTAAACTGTCTATTGTCTGTGCACACTACAGCGAATGCACTAAACACATTGCAAAGCATATTTACTGCACCCCTTTAAAAAAAACTGAATTTGAAAGTAGTGTGTTCTGTGTATTCAATTACAGAAGATTATAATGTAACATGATGGATATAAAATTAAGTAAAATTAACAATAATTAATCAACCTGATTTATTATTATTATCATTATTTTAATTGTAGTTATGAGATAAAATGTGTCTTACTAGTTTCTTTTTCCAGGAAATCATAATTAAATCATAATAATTAATTTCACATCAAAAGGTCCAGGTTCTACAGAGTTCCAGGGAATACTTAGTTAAAAAGGACGGATGAGAGCAGGGGAAGCCGTCTGTCAGGGCTGATCTTGAGGCCAGGCGCCACAGCTGGAGGGGGAGGGGATGAGAGTGAATGAGGGCTGGGGGAGGGGGACTGACTGAGAGAGAGAGAGAGTTGGAAGAGCAGAGGATAGTGAAGATGCTTTTATGTGGCACAGTGTCTGTTTCTTCAACCCTCTGCACAGTGTAAGCCACCTCACAGCTTTTGTTCTTCATATATTTCCAGCCCAGTTTGTTGAGAATTTCATATCTGTATGGTTTGAGTATGTTTTTCCGCTATTTATCCAATGAATATAAAAATTCCTTTGTGTAATTATGGTCAGAACGTGTTTTTTTTCCCTTCATTTTTTAAATTATTTAGGCTATTTATACTAGTGTTGTTTCCAAGAACAGCAGCTTTGCAGGTTGAACTACAAGTTGCAGTGTTTAGGCTGTGGTCATGTGTTTGAGTTAAACTTCTAGTGTTGTTAGCTTTGCTTTCTCAAAATTAATGTGTTAAAGCATTGACTGTAATTTGAATTCAAAAAACTGTTTTGGTTTTGGTTGGTTTGATGTTTATTTTCTGTGAATTAAGTTAAATGGAAATTGCAGGGTTCTCATGGTCAGTGAAAACCTGTAATATCAGGCAATCATATTACATATTAATAAAATTGTGATTTCTAGACACGTAACCAGAATGTCAGTAACCAGACAGTTGATGTACCCCATTGACTTCCATAGTATGGAAGTTAATGGGGTCCATCAACTGTTCTGTTACCGACATTCTTCAAAATATCTTGGTTAGTGTTCAGCAGAAGAAAGAAATTCATACAGGTTTGAAACCACTTGAGGGCGAGTAAATGATGACAGAATTTTCATTTTGAAGTGAACTATTTCTTTAAGGTTATGATGTTAGGTAGGCTCAGGGTTAGTACCTATTTATTAACCAGTTATTATAATAAGTATATAGTATGTACATGTGTAACAGGACTGTAAAATAAAATACTGCCATTTTTTTTTCTTTTACTATTTTTGATTTATTGATGTCTATTCTTTTCAAAATTTTCATCAGCTAAAATTGCTATATTATATTATTATTTTTTTTCTTTCAGATTACTAAAATTATCCAGTAATCACGAATGACTGACGAATGAAAAGTCATGGAAATTCATTGGTCAAAAGGTCTGGGAGCCCAAAATTTCTTACTGACTACACATATTTGTGTGTGTGCTTGTTGTAGTTGGTGAGTGAGTTGGAGAGTTACAAGATGAATTGATGGTTGGGAATTACAAAAGTTGTGGTTTGTGTCTTTGTTGCTGTTTATAACTTTGAATTATCCAATGAAACCCAAACCAGAAAGTTCACATAGTAGACATGTGTACTCCTTATACAATTTAAAGTATTTTTAAAAGGAAAATCTCCACCACATTATGCAGTTGAAACAGTACACATATCAGTATTTTTACATTCAATCAAGAAAAATATTCAGCATACAGTATTAAAAATGATTAAATATCACTGTAAATGCAGTTCAACATTCTGACATTGACATTGTGGTGTTCTCTCAGGTCTGATGAGTATTCCTGCTGCTGCATCAGTTCAGTCAGGAGGTGGAGAGATGCAATCACCTGGGGCCATTAGCCCTTCATTCCTCCCGCCCCCAAGTGGAAAAGTTCCAGGTCGCAAGAGGGGTCGTCCACCCCTGAAGAGGCACCCGGAATATCAGAGTCGCTATCCAGAATCCCTCCCACCCATTAAAGTGCCTAAGAAAAGAGGAAGGAAGCCTGGCTTTAAGGTCAGTAAATATCAGAGTGTTTGTGTGTTCATTTAAATATGAGTATGTATTTGTAGGCCACAAAGATAAGGCCTTTCCATAGTTCAAAAGTGTCTGCCAATTGCATAAATGTCATCAAGTGGTGCATTTAAATACATACTGGTGCGTGTGTAACACTTATTGTATAATTATTTAGCTAGAGGAGCATAGTAATGTCTTGTGTGTGTTTGTATATAGGTAGGCCCATCTGATGTTGACTGTGAGAGAAGGAGGGGACAAGGTGGTTGTTCTTTGACTGATGTATCTGCAGTCTGCTGCTGCTGAGTTATTTTTAGCCGTGTGCCTGAGCACAGGCCTCATAATGTCTCTGCTGCTGATTTAAAGAGCTACACACTACCACAATGTGTGTGCATGTTAGGAGATTTGCAGTAAACATCCTTGCAAGACTTTTAAATAAAAAAGACATTTTCTACCGGATGTACACTGATGAGCCAAAATATTATGACCACCTGCCTAATATACTGTTGGTCTTGTGCGTGCTGCCAAAACAGCGCCGACCCGCCGAGGCATGGACTTTGCAAGACCCTTGAAGTTGTCCTGTGGCAGGGCTGGACTGGGGCTAAAATTCGGCCCTGGACAAATCCAGCCCATCTGGTTCCCCCGTGAATGTTCTGCTGAATGAATAAAATAAAACAGTACAGAAACAAGTAATAATAGATATTATAGATTTATTATACAATGCAGTTAGAAAACTTAAAGGTCCCTCCCTCCCTGCAAATCGCCCTCCAAAGCCACGCCTCCTGAAAGCATGAACACGCACAGCCAAGAAGACCGGAGACAACGTTACTGCAATACCAATATCATGTGTCATTCACCGGTGAGAAAACTTTATAGTACAGTTAGTAACACACTACAATACCAAACGTAAACAAATTCTTAAAAACAAAATTAGATGCAGCACGGTTTCATTTTGTTTAGCTAGCAAAACTCAGTCAGTGTGTAAAAATATTTCTTGCATGACCCGGTTTCCACAATTAAGATAGATAGATCGTAGATCCTTTGCCAGTGCCACTTGTTGTCGGTTCAGAAGGAAAGTTAGGTTGTTGCTGCTTGCCTGCCATTCTCGCTCTATCTGCACAGCATACGTGAACGTGCAGATGACTTATGTCTGCGTGAACAGCCTGTGCAGTGGTATGCAAACACACATTGACCGACAGGGAACACATGCTATAGGATCGTTCGGACCGAACACAACGATTGAACGAACATTTTATGGTCCTACGCCTTCCACAGACGACATATATTTATAAAAATACATTTAGACCGCTTGTTACAGAGTGATTGCTATCAGGATATGAGGAGACTTTCAACCAGCATAACAAAAAATGTTTCTGCAGATAATCACCAATGGCACCTTTAATATTGCATTTTTGTCACAAAGAAATGCACTTGACCGTAAAGCATTGATTTTGAGCTAGGATGCTGTAAAGTAAATTTACTGCTATTAAATTCTGTCATCATTTGGCCCTCGCAAAAGTCGCTTAGATCTTTATTCCTGCCCATTTCTCCTGCATCCAATCCAACACATCGATTATGAGAACTGATTGTTTGCTTCCCATCTAATCTACCCAGACCTTAATAAGTGGACCTGTTAGGAGATGATCAACGATATTCACTTGTGACTGATCATAATGTTTTGGCACATCAGTGTATATCAGGTATAGTTTGTTATTGTAATTGTTAGTTTACTTTATTGTATTTGTAGTTGTAATAAAACATAATATAAAAATGACATAGCATAAATATATGTTTTATAAATATCTTCATATATTTTTATTAATCAGTTATATAATGATAATACTAATATATCTTTTTTTTTTCAGCTGAAGTCTCGCTTGATGACTCCCCTGGCTATCTCTCCTCCCAGCAGCACCCCAGAGCCAGACATGAGCTCAATCCCCCAGGACGCTGCTACTATCCCCCACTCAGCCACCCCGCAGGTCCTCACAGGTAACAAACACACACATTCGTAGACTACCAGTTTCACTATCTGCTGTCTGAAGTATTGCCATGCCAATCCCAGAAACTAGTAACCAGGTCTAACTATTAAGGGAGTAATAAAATGTGAGCATTAGAAGAATCACTGTCCTCAGAGGAGTCACATTATGACTCTCTGCCATCTCATTCTTTTTTTAGTGGCCAGTAGGGACTGTAACTCTACCCATTTATATCGGAATTATGATAACTGTTATTTTTTATCAAAATTATATGATGGGATGTGCGTCTCAGGGGTGAGAGAAGACCACCAACACTGTCTTTTATAACAAGACCAGATATTTTTCCTTATCTGTTATTGAAAGTGATAGTTTTTCAAAAATGAAAATTTTGTCATCATTTTCTCTCCATCAAGTTGTTCCAAACCTATATAAATGTATTTCTTCTGCTGAACACAAAAGAAGATATTTTGATGAATATGTTTAACCAAACAGTTGATGGACCTCATCAGCTGTTTGGTTTCCGACATTCTTCAAAATATTTTCTTTTGTGTTCAGCAGAAGAAATACATTTATATAGGTTTGGAACAACTTGATGGAGAGTAAATGATGACAAAATTTTCATTTTTGAAAAACTATCACTTTAAATAACTATCAATTTAAAATAATTGTTTTTTTATTATTTAAAAATAAATATTAATACGTTTTATTATTAAACGTATTTTAAAAATGTGATTTATTCCTGTGATGGCAGTGTTTAAAGGGATAGTTCACCCAAAAATGAAAATTAGCCCATGATTTACTCACCCTGAAGCCATCCTAGGTTTATATGACTTTCTTCTTTCAGACGAATACAATCGGAGTTATAACAAATTGTCCTGGCTCTTCCAAGCTTTATAATGGCAGTGAATGGCTGTCTGTCTTTGGTTCAGTATGCGTTCATGTAAGAAAAATATCCATATTTAAAACTTTATCGACTAAAATAACTAGCTTCCGGCAGACGGCCGTAACTTGCGTTTTTATGGACTTCCAAAGTCATCCAGTCATTCACTCCCATTATCAAGCTTGGAAGAGCCAGGACAATTTTTAATATAACTGATTGTATTGTATTCGTCTGAAAGAAGAATGTCATATAAACCTAGGATGGCTTCAGGGTGAGTAAATCATGGGCTAATTTTAATTTTTGGGTGAACTATCCCTTTAATATGCTATAAAAAGCTGATTTAGTGCTCAAGAAACATTTCTTATCAGTATTAATGTTGAAAACAGCTGCTTAATATTTTTGTGAAAATTGGATTTTTGGAATTGTGATCGTTTTTTTTTACAGGATACTTTAATGAATAGAAAGTTCAAAACAACAGCATTTATTTGGAATAGAAACATTTTGTAACAATATAAAAATGAGTGCAAGTACAAATTAAGCATGCAAACATTGTTGTGTCATTTGTGATAAGACTTAAATAATAGATCTGTCAATCCTAAACTCAGTTTGTGTGAATGTAGCAAGTAAAGATTTCATACGGCACAGACACACTTAATCTTTGGGGTCAGGACCCTTCAGTCCATACGGGCTGCCCATCTAATTCGGCAATAACATCCATGACTAGAAGGAAAGGGAACAGAGAGAAAAGAGTAGTTACATCTCTTATTTCAAAGGTTAATAGGTGTGAAAGTCTCAAGGGACATTATTGAGGAACCTGACTGTTCTAGCCTTAGAGGGATTATCATCCAATTTATCTCTTCATTACGATGGAGAGATCAGTTCTGTTCTGCTATATTGCCTTTTTAATGGAATAAAAAAAATCGTACTATTTTTAAAATATGAGCTTAGAATGAATTCACATCACAACTTTAGCATGTGTAATTTTCAATTCTGCCATTCGAAATGAATGAAGACTGCATCTCAATGCTGTTCAAGGTCTACTTTAAACATGAGAAGTTGTGACGGTATGGCTGAACTCCATCTTGAGTTCTCAAAGCTTAATCCGTTTGCTGTAGGGAGCAGTTGCTGAACAAGAGGCTTTTGTCTGCCCACCAGGTTTCTAGACTTTAATTCTTTTTGCAATGGAAAAGTCATGCTCTCTTTTGGTCCCTCTCCTATATTTCAACAACCATGTTCATTTTGTTCAGATTCATGCCTTCGTGAAATATTTGACACCAGCATTTTGTCCTCAATTCTTTTAAGAAATTTGACAAAGCATCTCGGTGCTCGCAAACCTGCGTTCCGATGTGAGGGATGTCTGTGTGGGTGTTACCGAGGGAGTTGTTGTGGGGGTCATGACCTTAATGACCTCAGGTCATTGTTAACAGCTTTGGTGTTTTGTTTTATTTGGAAAACGTGTTTGTATATGACTGCTTGCAATTAAATTATATTGCCTTTCCTGAGTGTGGTTAATTTTCACTGTCTGTAAGCCTACATGGCTGGCATGTCAGTAATCTTGCTATTGGTTATCTATTTTAAGGCTTTGTGTGTTATCTCTGTACTCTGTACACTTGCTGTTCATTGACTTTATCCTGTTACACATTCTCAAACACAGCACAGGCTACTTCTTGAGATTATTTTAGGTGTGTGTGTGTCTGACTCCTGGTCATGGTGCTTCTAGATGACAGACGACGAAGGAAATCCCTTAGCATGGCAATCTGTCAGATTAAAGCATCCTTATGCTGCAGACGAGCGAGGGAAGTCAGTGGGGACAGATTGTGTGGGAGGAAATGGGAGGGGGACGAGTGATTGGTGGATTCCCACACACACACACACACACACACACACACACACACTCTCTCTCGCTCTCTTTCTCTCTCTCTCTCTTACTGTCTTCTTATTTTTGCTATGTACCTGTATTGTTTTTGTTGATATTAAATGCTCATGCTTGTATTGTTCCTCGTTTGTAAGTCACTTGTTGGGATAAATAAATGCATAGAAATGGAAGCGTTTCCTATTAAAGGGTTGTTTCTTTTATTTAAGGTAATCAAAACATTATTGGCTCTGGTTGGCTCATAAAACCGCAGATGCTTTTTAGGTGTGATTTACAGTATGTGATCTAGTTTAATGGCATTATTTTAAGAAGAGTAGATATCAGGTTTAATTTTGATAAATAATTCCTTTGCTATTACTGAAACGCACAGTACACAGCACAAGATTGAAACACCCTAAGCTGTCACAAGCGCTGAGTTTTTTTTCTTTATTTATTTCTATGTTGTTCCTCCTTTGTTGCCCTCTCTTTCTTTTTATTGCTCGTCTCTTGGGTCTCATGACGAAACGATCTATAAATGTGGCCTCAAATGTTTGAAGATTCCTTGACAAATATCACAAGCCATTTTGTAGTGTCAATAAGGAAGACATGCACTGTGTGCCAATATGTATGTGAGTGTTGTACAATTACATGTAGGGATTGTCTTTATAGATCATGGATTCCTTTTTTTAAATACTGTGGTGATGTTGTTAGTGCTATTGATTTTGCTTTGCTTTTAAAATTACTTATTAACTTAAAGGAATGGTTCACTTAAAAATGAAAATTGTCATTAATTTACTTGTTTTAAACCTGTATGAATTTCTTTCTTCTGCTGAACACTAAAGATATTTTGAAGAATCTCGGTAACCAAACAGTTGATGGACCCCATTAGCTTCCATAGTATTTCCTACAAGTGTCTGGTTACCGACATGTTGCTCGACAACTTGAGGGTGAGTAAATGATGACAGAATTTTCATTTTTAAGTAAACCATTCCTTTAAGCAAACAGTATAACCTTATATTTTCAGTACATAATACACAAAAAATCTCAAAAGCAAGAGAAGAACAAAACCAACGAATTACCCTCCATTAGCATTCCAAGACCTAGTCAGACAATAACATGAACTGAAAAAAAAACAATTGCAAATACAGCAGTTTCATATTGTGCTTATTCCATTAAAAATGCATGCTGAAAGCAGATATTGCTAATTTTAAAATCTCTCTCTTTCTCTGTCTGTCCATTTTATTCCAGTGTGTATTTACGTGAATAAGCAGGTGAACACGGGTCCTAACCTGGACAGGCAGAAGGTGCTGCAGCTGCCGGATCACTTGGGTCCCGCCAGGCCCTCTGTGGTGCTGCAGCAGGCGGTACAGGGCTGCATCGACAGTGCGTTTCAACAGAAAGCTGTCTTCACCTTGCTTACAGAGGGCTATGGAGGAGAAAAGATCTCAGGTTCAGTTGCATAGCCACCCTAATGCGTGCCTCCATTCTGATTCTCATGTCTACTGTAAATACATATATGCACTACTAAGTCAGTACGATTTTGAGCAGCAAATCAGCATATTAGAATGATTTCCGAAGGATCATGTGACACTGAAGACTGGAGTAATGATGCTGAAAATTCATGGTTAATTGAATTAATTGTTTTATTTTAAATTGTAGTGTACAAAGTAATGATCTAGCACAAAATTAGTGTTGGTTTATGGGACATTTTTAAATATACCATACTGTAAAGGTACGTGTATACTAGGGTTGGGCGATGTCTACCAATTTGGCATCAGACGATGTCTACAGTGAAACATCGCGATGGACGATGATATCGGGAGCGGGAGGGGGAGGGGGGGTATTTTCGTAATATTCTCATTTTCCACTAGATATTTTCCTCTATATCTCATCAGCAATTTCGATTTCGGCACCTCTGCAGCAGCTGAGCACTAAGGAGCGAATGTACAGTGACGTGACATCACTGCCAGATTCAAACTGCGTGCTTTCGCGCTATGGGTGGCGCTGAGCCAAAGACGGACGCGCTCAGCGCTTGTCATAGGCTATATCACAACTGTTCAGTGTTAACCACATAATGTTTATTTTAGGTTTCAGACATTTAAATACATCTAATCTATAGCAAAATAATACATTTATAGTTTGTAAAATACACAATGGTGTCTATGGAAGCAGCAATAACAACCCATTCAAATATATTTGACGACGGTTTTTATTCATATCAGAGAGACACAGTGTAGCATTAAATAACTATAATGTCAACTCAAGTTTTCTCCCAGGTCACCGGCCACTTACTTTCATGTTTTTCGGGAGAAACTGGTGAATTCACGCGCTGTAATAAATCCAACAGACAGAAATCTCTGAACTGCGGCCCAAACACGGCGCCCATCTCACAGATCAAGATAATTTATAAAGTTTTTTTAAACGACAAAAACTCACTTACACATCGGAATAGAAGATAGTTCATGACATGGTAAGCAAGTTTGTTAATATTTAGAAATAAAAGCGCTAAATCTGTCATACAGCGCTATTTTGGCTGTGGTGAATCACGTGCCAAGCAGGACACCATGGAAACGGGACACACGATGTTTAGCCGATGCCGTCTAAACATCGTGATGTCTGTCAGCCATCACGATGGACGATGATATCGTCCATCGGCACAACCCTAGTGTATACATATATGTAAACAAGTGAGCACTGAGAAATAGTACTGAATTACATATACTTGCTGTATAATTATTTTGTGAATCTACTTGTAATTGTGCAATTTCAATTAATAGAAACATGTGATTGACAGATATCCTCCAGATCAGATTAATCTGTCAATATTTGGCCATTTTGAGGTCATCGTCATCGGCCAATAACTATGGCCACTTGGCTGATTGTCAGAAGTTACATTTTGTTTTTGTAACAGTAACATAATCTACAGGTACTGTCGTTTTTACTAAATTTTTTGTTTAAGTTTAAATTTAATTTCAGCAATTGTGGTACAAATTATTTAAAATGTTTATGTATATATTAGCATTATATCTGGCATCAGTTGTCAGCATCAGCCTTTGACCATTTATAGGAGCATGTAATGCGGATAACACAGACACTGCAAAATAAAGTCTTACGGTCCTTGCACACTAGAAATTTTCATATGTGGTTTTTCGTATTCGTCATTCGGGGGCTCTGAATTGTCAAAAACCTCTCAAAAGGCTTGCTACGGATGCGAAAAACGAACCCGATCCGAATTTTTTAATGACGGACGAAAGTTTCGGAGGCAGTATGTAAACGTGATTGACACAACGTGAGGTCGTATTTATTTTTTAACGTGCGAGAATTTCGGACTCAGTGTGCAAGGACCTTTACTGTATTTACAACAGTGTGCAATTTACTTGAATTTAAACACTCTTTCTTTGTCTTCATCAGCCACCTTTGATGGTAAACAGCATCTGTTGAGTTTGCCAGTGGTCAACAGTGTAGGTTATGTTCTACGCTTCCTCAAAAAGTTGTGCCGAAGCCTGATGTGTGAGAACCTCTTCAGTGACCAGCCCATCGCTCCTTCATCGTCCCCCTCCTCTTCTTCCTCATTCCACACTGAAAAGCACTCAGATGGACAGCCCAAGTCAAGTGCGTGCTCATCAAGCTCTGTTATTCTACCCTTTTTTAAATACTAGAGCTGTATTTCCATCTATCTACACAGCCTGCACAGTTGAAGTAAAATTTTCTATATTAGACAATTTTTGTTTTGTCTATTTTTGTTTTGGATGTTTTGTAATTTGGCTGTTTGATTGGATCTGCACTCTTTTCTGTCTCTGTCCAATTTGCCCTTCTGAAAATGCAGAGGAGGCCTTTAGTGCAAGCTGAGCTGTTTAAGTGGCAGTGAAAGGTTGAGTGGCCTGTGGTTTGAGTGTTTGAGTTCTGCTGGCTCCACCTCTCTCTCTCTCTCTCTCTCTCTCTCTCTCTCTCTCTCTCTCTCTCTCTCTCTCTCTCTCTCTCTCTTTTTCCCCCGTGAATGTGGTTTGGGAGCTCTAGAGATTAGAGCATTAACTTCAGTATGACACAATATCACACCGCTCAGCTACATAGGCAAAGGTTGTGTTGTGACTTAATCCCATGTCAATGGTTAACGTGGTTAAGAGAGGAGAGCCTACGTTACTCGTCAACACTGTATGTTAATCAGTGTTTCCCACAGACGGCAGTGTTTGCAGTGTCTACCAGCTACCTATAATTCATTCTAACTACATAAAAAAAAAAAAAAACGATTTAATAATTTAATTCTTCGGGTTTAAAAAAAATATATTTAAAATTTTTTTTAGAATCAGACACGACAAAGAATTCAGAGAGTTTATTCAGTGAAGAATTCATCAGACTAATTCAATCTCATAACTGCATTTGTGTAATTCATTAAAATAATGAATTTCTTAATGAATTAAGATTTCCACTTTCGTGAATAAGACTACACTAGTCATTCTTTATGTTTGCTTTTTAATGCATAAAAACATAGAAAGATGTGTTTGCTTAGCATTTGCATATGTATATAATTTGGTTTGGATGAATCCATACAGGCCAATCTGCACTCAAGAAAGCAATAATTATCCTGAGCCAAATGACATGCATGCTTAACATGCATTATTTTCCCTAAATTGCTTTTCTTTTTGTGCAGCAGACTCGATGGTGGATGATTACCATGGCGATTCAATGGACCCTAAGCGCTATTCTGTTGACCCCAGCGACTCTGCTTTTGGAGCGATGTCCTCACCGTACACAGCAAGTAAACCTGCATATGGTTTTCGTTCTGGCCCTGTCTACTCTGGAGGTGTGTGCAGGCAGGCAGCCAGTCCCAGCACATTCCAGGAAGGAAACAGAAGTGGTAAGAAAGAGGAAATTAACACTTATACAATAAAGCGGCAAAAGAGTTTCTGCACTACTTTAAAACCATGTTAATCAAATGAGATGTATGTGAGAAGATACCAAGAGTTAATCAAAAAACTGAAAACTAAATAGTATATAAAGTACCAATGGTTCTCAAGTAAGGGGGGTTGGAGCCCACTAGGAGGTCTCAAGATGACTTAAAATGATTTAAACAACAAAAAATCCAGATATTTCTTTTTTTTTTTGTCTTAGAAGAACCATGATTCTCAGTTGCTTGGAAATTTTTTATTTTAAAGTGTGATTTCTAGACCAGGAAATGGTTTTCTAATTATGCTAAGCTCTAAAATATTTTATGGGTAAAAATTGAGTAAACATTAAAAAAAATAAAAAAATATATATAAATCCTTATTAGGATATTCACTTATATAGTGAATCACAAACAACTGGAAAACTCACGAGGCCTTCAAAAATAGTTGTGGTCAGTGAGGGCCTTGGAGTCAAAAAGGTTGATAACCACATATACTGCATATATGATTTTGGTAACACTTCCTATGAAGCCTGCATTTTTAATGCATTATACCATTATAAGGGTATACTTAATGCATTATAATACATGCATAATGCCTTATGAACAACTTTATAATGTGTTGTATCATCTGATAAATAATCATAACAATAGTTACAACAATACATTAAAATACTTAGCTATTTGTGGTTATAACTTTAAGAGTATAATGCATTATTACACCAGATAAAGCCTGTATTTATAATGCATCAAACTGGTATTCTTAATGCATTTATGCACACATATTGCCTTGTAAAAAAACGTATGTGTTTGTACTAAAATGTATTGTAAATACATGTTTCATAGAAAGTGTTACCGATATTTCTAGCTTCAACCAAGAATAATAATCCTAGCCCTGTCTGAATCTGATTTCTCTCTCTCTAGCCTACAGTCCATCCCCAGATGGAGGGGAGGCGAAGCCCCCACCCAGTAAGGATCCCTCCAGGTGGAGCGTGGATGAGGTGGTGTGGTTTATCAAAGATGCAGATCCTCAAGCGCTGGGCCCTCACGTGGATCTCTTCAGAAAACATGTGAGTTTGACTGACACATTTATTTACAAGTGGCAAACAAACACCATGTGTTGAACATGTTGTCAGATAACAAATCCCTGTGTGGGTAGCGTTAGTTCAGTTTCAAGTTAGAAAACCAGATATGATCAGCTGTGTGCTTCACAACTCAAGTTTTCACAATCAATTCAAGGTCACATAATTGGTGATATAACCACCTGAGCTGAATGTTAAATGGAAAAGATTTCAAATCTTTGTACATTGCTTATTAAAAACAGAACAAAAAGCAAAGTACAATTTAACACCATCTAATGAAATTGAATTTTACTCTTCCAAATAGGGCCGCACAATTAAAGTGCAAAAAAGGCTGTGATTTAATTAATTATGGAAATACGTCCATCTCAGTATGTGCTCTGAGTTTGGTGGTTGTGTGGTTTATCATGTGAATTGTAATTGGAAAGCCTGCAGGTTCACTTCAGCTTCACATTATGTAATTCGCCACGTTTGCTACAAGTGAAGAAATAGAGGATTTTTATTATTATAATAGAAATATAGATTATTATAATATTATCCAGGTAGAAGGAGCAGTTCAAGTCGGAGTAAGTGCAGCAAAAGCATTCTGCAATCACCATTTGTACCATTACTACTTCTGTGTAAAGTTCATCAATATTTTTGTTGTTAAGCTCTGCTTCAACTCTGGACCGCTAACACTGTTAAATCTAATGTAGTTTTTGGGCCAGATTTTTGTGCATGTGTTTTTCCAACTCAGAATATTATAATATCCTCAATTGTTAAACACAGTAAAACATTGTTTCATGTGTATAGTAAGCATTCTGTTGTGGACATTGTGATTACTTCTTCAGGAGATTGATGGGGATGCTCTTCTTCTCCTGAAGAGTGACATGATCATGAAGTACCTGGGACTCAAGCTGGGCCCGGCTCTCAAGCTTTGCTACCACATTGACAAGCTAAAACAGAACAAGTTCTGACCGGTCTCTGCACCTTACACACACACACACACACACACACAGATGGATTCACTCACAGTATTTACTCTCACTCTCATTTGTTGTAGTACTGGACGTTTTTATCGCCCATTCTTTGGTCATTCAAGGACAAGCACCAGAGCATTGTTTTTTACTTGTGTGGTTTGTCTGCCTGTATATTGGGACATTTCACTGACCAGAACATTTGCTTGTTCTAATTTTAAGTGTGCAAGCGTTTTATTGATTACTTGATTGATATCTGAACACTGCTCTAATCAAAAGGCAAGTCATCTCAGCTGCTTTCTGGGATTTGAGTTTTTATTCTCAAGTGAGAGTGCAGATGAATTAGAACTGTAAATCATCCTTCTTCAAATGGACGGAGTTGTAACAAACGTATTAGGTCACAGTACTCGCTCCCATTTTTACAGAGCCATGGACTGTGACTAAAACCCTGTGAACTTCAGCCACCTGCTGGTAAAGTGGAGTCACTTCAACTCTGTGACACTTTCCCCCTGTTCTAACCAGGAACCATTCAGCTTCTTATTTTGCGGAGAGCTACTTCGAAGGCCGATAGCCCGGGAGATCAGTTACTTACAGAATTCAGCATCGTGCAAACAGATACAGTGTGCACACAGTCTTGGCAGGGTACAACTATGAACAGTTTCACTTTGCAACCAGCAAATAACAGGCACAAATGCAACTCTATTCAGCAATTGACCACCAGTCATGTCTTTGGAAAGCCTCCCAGCTACCCAGAGTCAGAACTAAACAGGATACACTACAAGGCAGTTACTGCTTCAGTAAAAATGGTGCATTACAAACCTAGTAATGCACACCAGGTGCTGTTCTCAACCAGCAGGTCACGTTTAACTAAAAGCAACTATACTGGTATTATACATTTCATACTGTGGACCAAATACACTGAAATTCTCATCAGCCCAAAAATGTCTTGTTTTTCTCTCTTTTCGGAGCAGAGGCCTCATATTAAAAAGCTGCTCTGATATTACACAAATGTCAACTTGTGATTTACTTATCAAAATACGTAGCACTTTACAATAAGGTTTAATATATTTAATACATTGGGTATAATGAACTTTGATGATACTTTTATCTAGGTTAATAATAATTTCTACATATTGCTGTCCAAAATTATTTTATTCAGCAAGGATGCATTTAATTGATCCAACAGTAAACTGTGACAGTAAACACTTAAATTATTAAAAATATATATATTTTAAATCAATTACAATAAATTTTAGAAGTTTCTATTCATCAAAGAATCCTAAAAAAAGGGTCAATGTTTCCACAAAAATATTAAGCTGCACTTTTTTTCCAACATTGATAATAAAAAGAAATGCTTCTTGAGCACCAAATCAGCATATTAGACTGATTTCTGAAGGATCATGTGACACTGAAGACTGGAGTAATGATGCTGAAAATTCAGATTTTCCATCACATGAATAAATAACATTTTAAAATGTATTAAAATAGAAAACAGTTATTTTAAATTGTAATAATATTTCACAATATTACTGTTATTAAATAAATGCAACCTTGGTGAACATACCATTAACCTAGATTAATAAATGCTGTCATTTTTTTTTGTTTATTGTTAGTTCACGATACCTAATGCATTAACAAATCTAAACAAATTGAACTTTATTGTAGCGTTGTCACAAATTTTATAGGCATGTTTCAATCAATTGTTTTTAAGTTGTGTAAATTGTCTTTATTTCACTAACATTTTGACTGTGGATTAGACGTGGATTTTCTTTCATAAATGTACAGTGTATACGTGCACGCAAGCTGAGGTACTTCTCTGTGATCTAATGTTATTTTAACAGTTACATTTGAGCTAGGTTTCAAACAAGTACTGCAGTTTGCTTTCTTGTGTGAAAAATGTGTGAAAAGAGTCATTTTAGTCTCCTGAGGCATTTCAGGAAATAATTTTATTATTATTATTATTATCCTTTTTATTATCATTATTTTCTTCGTTTTAATATATATATTTTTTTATTTTTTTGCACAAATGGCATTCAGAATTACTGTATTGCTTTTCAGGTGAACCTAAAGGGATAGTTCATCAAAAATTAACATTCTGTCATACTTTATTTACCCTCATGTCCACACAAGAAATGAAGTCATACAGGTTTGGAACGATGAGTAAATGATGACAGAATTTTCATTTTTGTATGAACTATCCCTTTAAGTTTGCCCTGATGATGTCATACATCTCCCAAAGTGGATTACACCCAAGTGTACAACATTTCTGTATCTGCAACCATGTGTAAATATAATAATTTATGTAGTAGCCAGCCACAGATTAAATTTACAATTTCAAAAGTAAAAGAGCAAATTAAGGAAAACAGTTTAGATTCAATCATCCAATGAACACATAGAGCTTTAACATGTAACCAGCTTTGCTGTGCTAGACTTCATTGTTGTACGATCGGCCTCTTAAAGCGACTGCTATGCTAACTTGAGCATCTGTACAGAATCATCGTCTATAATTTTTTTTATCAGGGAGGCTGTTTAAGTGGTCTGTTTTTTCCCCCTTTTTATCTTTTTTTTTCTGCATGTAGCACCAGTTGTACTGGGTTTAATAGCTTTCTCAATGAAAAATGTGTAAGAGGAGAATCATAAAAAATAGTGACACCAGGAAAAAAGGGAATTAATCAGTGAGCTCTTAAATCTGGTGCTACATTAAGAGGTCAGGGTTCTTTATAAGTGAATCTACTGATTTGAAAAGAACTGTATTATTATTATTATTATTTTTTTCATGAACCATCTCTTCTGATTGGTTGGAAAAAGTTCAAAAGTAAACAAGGGTTTTGGTTTTAACACAAGAAACCCAAGATAATAGAAATATATGACCCATGTCTGATGTTCAAACTCTTGTATTAGCTTTAAAAGCAGACCGTTTTTTTTTTTTTTCACTCATGTACTCAAACAGTGGGAATATCTTGTTGGTTTTAAAAGCCCTTTAACTGAGTAATAGCAGCACTGAGCTTTTAAATATGTTTGCAAGCACTCTTTTTTTATGGCTGCACTTAACTAAAATCCTACTTCATGTAGGAAGCTTTGACACTTTCATAACAATCTTAATGTTTTTGACTGTTTATGACCTCGCACAGGTATTCTGCTGACATTGACAGGCTCTGATGTTCCTGGCAAGATATTACCAATGTTTGTGTCAGGAATATGAGTGGGCTTTTATGGATAATCTGTTCTTTATTTCAGTTCTGGATCGTTTTGTGTGCATTCATATGTCAGGTTTGCGTTTGCCTCTGCACCATGTCATTCATTGTCATTTTTGATATAATGGAAAATGTAAGTGTACATTTATGAATGCTGCTCTCGATGATAGTCCCATGTAAGACTGTTTAAATTTGTCAGCTCACGAAAGAGTTTTAATGGAAAAAGGGGGACTTCAACACGGACCATTCATGTTCATGACTGTGTATTTAACGAATAATGATTTTATGCATACGATTTTATGGTCGATTTGCTTTATTTCTTCAGATAGGCTTCAGTGTTGTGAACTCTCGTGACTGACGACAGGCTCTGCATTGCGTGTCTGTTTGTGAGGTTAATATAGAGCATTATGAAAGAGTCAGAATAAAGCATTATGAGCACCCTATACTGAACTCCATTTGTAAATATACATGTGGCTATAGAGTGGTGCAGGGATGATTTTTCCATAGGCTTTTGAATTATCACAAAAATTAAGCTCTGTGATTAACAAAAATGTATGATACTTCCGTTTTGTCCATCAATATATTTTTCACAAATTAACACAACTTTTTATGAATTTTGAAGCCTACAATCGCCAGAAATAAAAATCTAACCTTAGGCTATAAACGAACTACTTCAACGCCACCACGATCAATCTTCCGACAACTCTTTCAGCCTTAATTAAAAACATTTTCGTAACGATACCATAGAAGAACCTTTTCGGTTGAACCTTTCAGTAAACATATCGTAAAATAACAATTTTTTTCCTAATTTGAAGAACATTTAATCTAAAAGAACCATGTCTTCACTATAAAGGACCTAATGGAAAGGTTCCAGGGAAATAATTTCTTCATAAAGAACCTTTATTTTTAAGAGTGTATATCGCTGTTTGTATTTCCTGTATCCCTAGCGCTGCTCTTGTGTAGACAGACACAACTCGGTAGCCAGAACATGCATATAATGTTGCTCCATGAGTCAAGGCCATTCTTAAACTTTTCGAATAAAGTCATTTCTGGACTTCAGAGCATGTAGAATATTCTAACACTTCCACAACTCCATATATCTTCATACACAATATAGCCATTCATGGCTATTGTGGCAGTTTTCCAAATTCAAGGTAATGACACTTGTCAGTTTTTTACAGGTTTCATTGTACAAACAATTTTCTTATATACTGTCCTTATATACTATCCAAATGTGTATTCAAGGAAAGGCTGATCATCTCAGCCATCCAATCTTGCTATCAACTGAGGCAAAGAAAAATTTGATATTTGTGATGCGTGTTCATGATAAAAAGAAAGGAAGGTATAAAAGGGTGATGCTGAAAAACAAGCTAATCTTAACCCTATATTAGGGAATAAATGTGCAATTGATAAAAAAAATGAAAAGAGAATAATCAACCCATTTTGAAGTGGACAAATAAATAAACATAATTTATAAATATTTATTAAATGTTTAAAAATATAGGTAAATGTAACAGTAAAATAAAAAATAAACTAATAATGCCAGTTTGCATAAATAGGTTTTTAAAATGGTTTATTTTGAAACGTTTTATACATGCATATACACACTTAAATGTTTTATTTAATTTTAATTAATACATTGATTAGTGGCAATCCCAGTCCTCCATATAACGACACTTTTGTTACACATTGAAAATCTAAATATTACCTATTATTATAACCTGTCCTTTTGTGATGTGCTGACTGTCTTCTACATATAGGTGGCACTATTGTGTCTTAAATGTGCTGTATGTAAAAACAGCTAAAACAAAACATGGGCTAATATATCACACTTTACTCCCTCGCCTCCAATTTATAAATGGACAAATTACTCCCATGGTGTGTTTTGGAACACTTATTTCTGAAAAAAAAAAAAAGACCACCCCAATGGTTAATAAGTGTCATAATCTGAATATCTACAATCAGATTTTGTGCAATTATTTTGCATAGAATTTAAATACATCCATACCTGATGATAATCAAATAGCTTTTTTTCTGCTGTTTGCCTGGCAGTTGATATTCACCACTTGTTTTCATGGCAGGGAGTGCTACATAAAGAATGCACATCATGAGTGTACTCTATTGTTGTTATTTTTTCACTTAATGTTTTATTATTGTCTGTTTATTTTGAGGCTGTTATTTTGATGGCATCAAAGAGCACCCACGCACAAGAAAAAGATTACAAGAATCAGGGAGGGCAGGTCAGGCTCGCTCTATTCTTTTTGAAACTGGAGTGTCCTTAGAATACAGATGCAACTGAAATGAATGTGTATCATGCTGAAGAGGAAGCACTCAAAAGC